GTGACACACGGCCCGGCGCCTGCTAACGCTCTTCGCTCTATCACGCGGTGCCATCTCTGCACTCGAGGGTGACGCCGCCGCGCTGCATTGCAGGTGCAGCCCTCGGAGACAAACGAGCCGCTGGAGAAGCAGGAAAGTGATTTGTGCATGTCTGTGCACTGCCTTGTACAGAACCAAAATAGTAAAATGTGCGAGGGGGCTCATCTCTCTTGTTCACTGTACACCAGATTGCTAAGATTGTCAGATGTCTAGACAAATATTTTGCGTTCGAAGCAGAAGATGCCTCTAACTAGGCAAAACGCACAAATTGTACCCTAAATGTAGGCAAAAGGCGTGGATTTTGATTTTGAGTTAAAATGTTTTGAGGTTGCCGAAGATTATCGTAGATTGCCAGTGTGGGAGTTTACAAGACTGCTGGAGCTGTGGCCCCATTGCACGTGTGCTGCAGACCTGAGCACTCGCACTTTCGAAGCCCGGTATGCAATATTTGAACAGTGTATGTGGTGTACTGACTTGCTACTCTTACGAGAAGTCAATAATATGCCAGTTTCGCAAATGTCGTAAAGTTTAAACATTTATAGACATCTACTGCAAACATATGAGTAATTCGCACACACAATAAGGAAGTGTAATATTGTGTGACACACACACAATATTAGAACAAACCGCTACGTATGCAAAATGTTGGAACACTATGACACCCCTTAGGAGTGTGCAGTCTGTAGCCCTAATAGTATATCTTCCATCAATAACACGGTGAAAGTCTTCTGAAAGGTCTGGCCCCTCTGACCATCCCTGCCGGCGACCTACTGTTACACAACTTCCCTCACATTAAAATAGAAACAGCGGCTTGGGTCTGCTGCTGAGGGTTAAAAGAAGTACAGAAAGTTCCAAACCTGCATCGCGTACAGCTTTTGCTTTCGGCATAGAAAAGAAAAGAGATGGCGAAGAGCAAGGATGTAAAGAGTGGGAACGATTTGCCTGGTAGAAAAGAAAATGTGTTGAAGCGAAAATATGCGCCTGTTTGTTTTTCGCGACGCCCTTGGGGGCTGCCTCGCCCTGGTTCTCCACGCCTCGGCACGCCTTGCCACGCCTCGCCTCGCCAGGACACGCCCGGCCGGAGCCATCCCATCCCATCCTATTCATGACACGGACATCCATCCATTCATCGGTCCAGCCATCCATCGCCGTCCCCCATCCATTGCGCGCGCCTGCTGCCTGCCATCCCACCAAGATACCCCTCCTCCCCCCGCGGGGTCCACAGGGCAGCAGCGCGGCAGCCTCGGCCACCGCCATTCTGAATGCTCCGGATATGAGTTGAACAGGAAGGTGTGTTGCGCGCGCAGCCGCTGGAGGGATTAGCCGACCGCTGCGAGGTACAGGGGCGCGGGGTCACGCGGGGCTGACGGTCGGATGCGCGAGTGTGCTGTCACAACCCAAGGCAAACACATCACGGCCTTTCCTCCTATATCCGGCCGGGGCTCGCCCGGACACTCTCTCCTGTCAAGCTCCGTCGCCTCCCTTCGCCTCGCCCCGCCTTGCGCCGCCCCGCTCGAGATCTTTACATTGCGACAATCTCTGCTCCAGGCCAACGGTGGTGGTGCGCTGACAAAATGTGTTTATATTCGGCGCGAAAATTCAGCCCACACAGTCCCCCAACACTGAGCCCCGGTTTTATTGATACGCATGCGTATCGGCTGAATGCGACTGAAGTCTAGTTTGTGGCACACACTTGGGATTTGTTTTAAGCTTTTCCCGCTACTCATTTATGTACGCTTGAAAAATTTGTATCTAATGGACTTCTTCACTGCAAGTAAAGAAGTGATCGTTCCTCGTTCCGGGAGAGCAATTTTGTTAATCCAGTTCGATCACTCCTGGGAGAGCGATCTTGAATGACGTCGCTCCTGTACAGCCATTCACCGCCATTCACTGGGCATTGGTATGACTCTGCACATGCAAAATCTTAACACTTCGTTGCACACTTTTAAATGTTTGACTCAACATTTGAATACTAAATGTGTCAAACTGTAAAGTCTTAAACTTCATGGTTGTCCATGAAACTTCAGACTCTTGAAGTGTTCAAAATTACTGTTTAACACTTTTAAGTATTTAAATTTCCAATCCAACACCTATAAGAGGATGCACCATATAGTTGAACACTAATGTGAATGTAGTTGGATTTGCACACTTCTCTCTTGAGTCAAACTGTATTTTTGGACTGTTTGCACTGCTTAAGGGCTAATACAGGGTGGCCGCTCTGCCCCGTCTTTTTAAAAGAGGTAGACTAGCCCGCCCGCACGACCTCACCAGTCCCCTCTCACCTCCCCTCTCCGTCTGCAAGCGGGCTAGTCTACCTTTTCAAAATGACGGGGGAGAGCGGCCACCCTGTATATCGTGGCGGTTCGTCTTCAGGCGTCCGGGCCATAAAACAATTGTTAAAGTCTATGACTGGTTTGCGAGTGGTCTGCGAAAGAACTATATTTGGCGTTAACAATTGTAGAGATCTTTTCATCTGCTGATGGTTACTTTGAGCACGTACCTGTTCTATCACCACCTTATCACTGACATCGCTCAGCCCCATTCCCAGCGGGAAGCAGGCAGCAGGCCTATCGCCCGTCTCTCGCAATAGGTCCCGGGCCAGTAATTGAAGATGACAAAAGGGACCAAGATGGACGCCGAATTGGCTTTTCTTCGTGTCTTGTGGGCGCGGGGCGGCGCGGGGCCCAGCAGACAATTTCTCGACGCTGCCGGAGCGGAGTCTTCTTTCAATCTCAATGATGACCGAAGGGGCTGTCCTAGTCCATCAGAGGGTCCCTGTTACATACAGTACACCCGAAAGGTAAGAACTTAAACCTTTTTAAATTAAATACCACGGACTTTGCACCCCACGTTTACCCCATGATGTTCCCGGTCTTAAATGTCCGTTCGGACAAATGCGTCAAAATATTAGTTGTTGACTTGGCATGTTTCACATTCTTTGTACGCCTAGCAAAATTTGGTTCTTGGATTAATTCTGCATTTAAGGCAATTAAAACTTTTAAAGGATGCGACCGAATTGTCTTGGACCAATGCAGATTTACTTGATTCAAAAACTAATCGACATTGTTTTACCCCCAATCTAGGGAATTTTAGTTGTGGTTTTTTTTTCAGTAATGTTGATTCTATGTGGCGTGTGTCGAGTATGCAGAGAAAGTGGTTCTTTTCCCCTCGCCGCACACGTTTCTCATCTCAGTCACAGTTAACATGAAACAGAATTCCTTGTTGTTCTTTTCCCGGCTCTTGCTTAGTTTATTTCCTTTCCCAGCCCACGTCGCGGCGCCAAGCATGTGACTTCTCGGGGAGAAAGGGACGGAGTTTTCCGAACTCAAGTCGCCGCGTTTCTTTAGGGCGTTACGAAACAAAACATATCTCCCCCAATCGTACCGACCGGGTACCGGCGGCGTGCGGAGGCGCGCGTGGGGAATGTGAATGCAGCTTCACGGGCCACGACGCTTCCAAGAGTCATGCTTCATGACGGTGAAGCTGGGGGCGTGCGGGCGAGTTTGAGCGGGATGGAGAGAAGAAGTAGGGAGCGCATTGGAGAGGCAGCGAAAAAAAAAGGGAGACTGGATGGTTGGTGGGTAGGCGCTAGGTCCGCCAGGATAGCAGGGACGTTATCAAGACAAATGGCGTGTTTCTGGAAACGAATGCGAATAATCCGTGTAGTAAGCACGGCTGGCGAGATGCTTTGACTGGACTCTGCTCCATCGGGCAGACCGAGCTGGCAGTCAAGGGTGTTCGTCCGTCGTCCTACAGCGCACAGCGCCTAGATGTATGAAGGTGGATGCCAGGTGCCAGGTACGCTGCAGCTGCAGTCGTTATCCTCATTTTGATGCATCAGTGAAACACATATGGAGTGTGTGGCCCCTTGTGCCACAGCCTTTCGGGGTAGGCTGTGGGTGCGCTCTGGTGTTGCACTGTAAGAGGTATGTTAAGATTTTTACGCACTCCTATTGTTGAACGACAACACTGGTATAACAGCAACGTTTCATCGGGAATTATAGCGCTTATTGATGAAAGTATGCATTGGCACTAATTCTTTTAAAAAATTCCAACTACTCACTCTTGAACGGAAATTTTAAAAATGCTCCATGATGAGTTAACAACATTTTGTTTTACAGTGTGGGCCTGGTTGGCTATCACGGGCTCCGCTGGCGGCGGCCGGTCATCCTCGCGGGGTAGGCTGCAGGAGTG